TACCTCCAAGAAGTCAGGTAATAAACATTCCCATCAGGGTTGAAGACAGTTTTCTTTTAAAATATTTAAAGGAATGCATCTCTGAGATCATTAATGATGTTTACAAGAGGAAGAAGACAAAGAGTGTCCAACTTGTATGAATTTGCCATAGTTCTCTTATTAATCTAACTAATGCCAGTTGCCAGAACAACCTTAAAGACCTCACACTATGAAATAGTGCCCACACTGTGTTATGAGCTAAGCCTGAATTTTAATTCAGACCTCTATTTCTTATTTTGCTTCAGAAGTGAGATCAAAATGAGGTGTTTTGCAAACTGTAGGCAAAACTATACTGTTAGTATTTTATACTTTTTTAAAACTCCTTTGTTCAAAGAACAAATTGTCCTGCTGGAATAAAAGTACAATTTTCAAAGCAGTCACTTCTTGAGCACTAAAAACAATATGGCATTAACTGCCCAATTAATATATTTGTTTAGTCTGAAACATTTGGAAAAAGTGAAAAACAAAAAGTTGCTTTCATAAACCATATTCAAAACCTTGCACAGAGCACAAAACCACTATTAAATTCATGCCATATGGTATCTGGTCATCCTTACATAACCAGCTAGGGAGCTGACTATTATCTTCCAAGCTTTATTAGAAAGGAAATTTAGTTCCAGAAAGGCAAGTGTTCAGGACATCAATAATACTCAAATCCAAGTGCTGACACCAACCAATATATTCTCCACCAGTCATTTGAGGTTAAAGGTATAGGTGACAACTACCCACAGTACCACTGGGAAAGATGAACAAGTAAGCAGGAGTCAACCATAAAACTACATCCTAACCTTGTTTTGGAGGGGAAAAAAAAAATCAAATCATTAAGGATTGTTGGTTTTTTGCTCTTCATTTGAACATAAGAAATGAATCTAAAAACAAGTGAATGGAAAAGTATGACTAATACGGAATTAGATGTTAAACTATTATTAAAATACAATTTTAGTAAAAAAGCTGCTAAGAAAATATTTGAGTTAGGTATGTAAGGCTTTATCGCAATCAAGTATACTGAAGTGGGAGATGAGAGGTAACAATTTGATGTGTTTTGAAAAATCCATCTAACAAAGACTCATAACTGGTTTTTTAAGTGATATGTACAAAATTTCTAAAAATGTGTCACTGCTCATTTTTCACTTCTATACTGTCACATCAGTTAAGGAAAACTGCATGTTTCCCTCAAAGGCCTCCTGTGCATTACATACAACTTGAGTTCTGATACTGTATCTTACATTCTTTGCCAACTCTAATTGATTATCTTATAGAAGAATGAAGTGGACCAGAGACACTTCACTGGCCTCAATCTAATAACCACTTTTTAAGTCTTAAACAATTAGGTTGAAATACAAAGTACAGATGGAAATAATATACATAGGATTTCAATGTGATTTCTATTAGTGAAATTATAGTTGTAACACTAAAATTTAGGTTAATAGTGGGGTAGGGGAATGGTCGAGGACAAGGATGATGGGAGTACTGATGGACTAGGGTAGTTCACTTCATGTGCTTTGGTGGGGAGCATGGTATGGTTACCAATGGGGAGCATGGTATGGTTACCAATGGGGAGCATGGTATGGTTACCAATGGGGAGCATGGTATGGCTACCAATGGGGAGCATGGTATGGCTACCAATGGGGAGCATGGTATGGCTACCAATGGGGAGCATGGTATGGCTACCAATGGGGAGCATGGTATGGTTACCAATGGGGAGCATGGTATGGTTACCAATGGGGAGCATGGTATGGTTACCAATGGGGAGCATGGTATGGTTACCAGTATGAAGAGGTAAACTTTTTACAAAATGAAAGTTTCTGTGTGTAATTTGGGACACATGATTTTTAAAGTTGTACAAACTTGACGACTGCAGTTGAGAAAGCCTAGATATTGTTAGGCTCAAGGATTGGAGAGTCTCTGGTGAATCCTCTCACTGTCCCCCCTACTCTGGCCTGTTCCCCAGTTCTGTATGCATAAATCAATCTTTTTAAAAATAAAACACTATCTTATCAAACAGTAATAGCTAAGGTCCTTTTCATTGCAGCACAAGAATGCAATCAGGCTAAAAGAAACAGTACTTATCAAAGTTACTGTTTAAAAAGTTAATTTATAGCAACATGGATGGAGCTGGATGAGATAATGCTTAGTGAAATAAGCCAGAAAGAAAAAGAAAAATGCCAGATGGTTTCAGTCATCTGGCAAGAGTGTAAAGGATTGGGGGGTGTGGTGGGGGCAGTGAATTAAAATGGAGATGCAAATGAAATAAAGTAAAAACTAAAACAATGAACAACTATAAACCAGAGACATTTTATGGAGGTGGAAAGGGAATGGGGCGGGAAGAGAGCACAGGGCTATGGTGATGGCATAGTCATCACCATCAAGTGGTGGTGGTAAGTCCACGGGGATTATAACCAAGATGGAAAAAGTTCACAAAATGAAGACTGATGTAATATATAACTACCGTAATAAAAAGTTAACTTACAAAGAGAGGTCTTAGGGAATAAAAGGAGAGTGACACTTTGTAGGGTAAATGGAAGTTATCAGCCCCTCCCAACCTGCCATCAGCATCTATGATCAACACCTGTGGTCTGATACTCAGGACTCATGGACAGCAGGAGTGTGCTGTGGACATGTGTAAATGGGCCCATCTGAGCTGAGTGACAGAGCATGGAAGTGCAGGAAAGGATGGTACAGGGAAGTGTGGTGGAGAGCGAAAGGGAGCCCCAAATTGCTATCTTCCTGTGGGCCTGTTTGCCCCTAACTGGTGGGGATAATGCCAAAAGCTCCAAATTCTCTTTTCAGTTGCCTAAACTGACATGGAACCTACCCAACCTGGGATGGTTGCAGAACACAGTAAGAAATTGTGTTGGAAACATTAAAATTCAAACACTGATTTGCAATGCTTATGAAATGACACTGTGACTTCTTTAAAAGGAAAGAAAAAAAATCAGACAAATGACTATGTACAGCTGTTGATGGAAACCATTCTCATTGCTAATCCAAATGAAGAGAAATGAGAGCGACTGATTTTCTGAGCAACTGCTCAGCGTACGCCTGTTTTCAAAGACATTAGTAGCAGTGAGTAATCAAAACCAATACACACATGGAAAGAACATTGCAAGACAGTAGGCGACAAGACAAAATAAACAATATACACAGCTCATTTCCATCACTTCCCACAATAAACCATAATTATATTTTCTGTTCTTCCTGACAATGCTCAAAGGTTAGGGACTGTGTGCTTTAATCTTCAGAGCATGGATCATGTGGCTGGCATATAGGTGATAATCAGTAATTATGTGATTTGAATCAGATGAGGAGGAGATCACTGGGAACAGGTGGAAGTCTCATCATGGAAGCCAAGGGCTTCTACAATCTGGCTTCAAAGTAACAGCAATACAACCCCCACTGGATTTAAAATAAAGCCAAATTGCTATGATGCAGGTATTGTGAAGTTGTGCCAAAGCAGCAGCATACCAAGAGATATTTGGGAATCTGGTTCCTATCTATTTCTCCACCCTAATTTCTATGTTTGGTGTGTGTGTTTTGTGCGTGTTTTGCTAAATTTACTTGCAATTTTGCATGCAGTTCCATCATGTCATGTCACCCTGTTCAATCAGTAATACTTTCCTGATTACCCTTTAATCTATGAGTAAACAAATTTCAAGTCTCAAGCATCCTCCTGAATCCATTTAAAATAGAAGGGGCCACTCCCTCACTGGGATAATCCTTCCATTTACCATAAACTATTCCTTCCTATTTTATATATTTACTAGTGTGTATGCCACTGATAGGTTCTAAGTTTCTTTAGAAATAGTTTTATTCATCCCTGGATCTACGGTGAGTAGTGAAATTATATATATATATATATATGCTGGTAAATAAATAAAATCCCATGCCTTGAACACATCCTCATAAAACACAGTGAAAAATCAACTTGCCGTCTTATGCAAATCAGACTAAGCCTCTCCCCAAAGATATCCTTGTCCTATTCCTGGAACATTAGAAAGTTAGCTTTCAAGGCAATTTGAATTAAGGATGCTAAAAAGCTGACCTTAAAAATGAGCTTATGATGAATTACTTGTTTGGGCTCATGGTACCCATACGGGGGAACAAACAAGGAGTCAGAGAAAGAGGTGATGACCAAAAGTAGCAGAATTAAGGAGATACTATCTTGCTGACTTTGAGGGCCGAAGAAGGCCACTGGTCAAAATGCACATCCTCTAAAAATCTGAAAATGTCAAGAAAACAATTCTAAAGTCTCCAAAAAGGAATGCAACCCTGTAATACACTGCTTTAATCCCAGTAAGACTTGTGTTAAAATTTCTAACCTACTGGCCCTCCTTGGTGGCGCAGCAGGTTAAAGCACAGCACTGAGAAGCTTAAGCCGCTTCAGCATGAGTTCAATTCCCGCCTGCCCCCCGAAGTGACCACATGGTGTGGCAGACCTCTCCTAACCCGCCCGCTGCTCCCCTCAGCAGTGTACTTCGTCGATCTGCCTGTTCTGTTTCCTGCTCTGTCTCTGGTGAATTCTCTCACATCTCTGGCCAGTAACCCAGATCTATATGAGAAAATAAATCTTAAAAAAAAAAAAATTTCTAACCTACAGCAGTACAAGGTAATGTATGTTGCTTTAGCCCACTACGTTTATTTAGTCCACTGAGTTCCCTAAGCAACAGAAACCTAACCGGAAGTTTCTTAAGGCTTCTGTGTGTGTGCTTCTGACATGTCGCTAACCTTTCAAAACATGTTACTAACCTCTCAATTCAATACAAAAGCTACAATTTTCAACAAAAATTATGGATAAAGCAATGTACTCCATATTTTACAGCATTATTGGACACGATATCCACAAATACCCTGCTCCGAGAAAGATTATTCCCATTTAGATGAGGAAACGGAAATTAAGCGACTTTCCCAAGATCACACAAATAATAAACTGCAGCATAAGATGCACAAGTGCTGAAACTTACCTTACTTTTGCGCAATCCTGGGGTCCCCAAATCCTCTTCTGGAATGGCGGATGATCCCGGCGCACAGAGGAGTCCCGGTGTTTTGTTGGCTGCTTTAGAATTTATCTTCCCTTTTCCCCCACACCTAACTCCTCAGAGGCAAAACGCTGACCCCTGCCCTTGGCTTTCATGCAGAAATGCTCACAGGATCTCTTCTCAAATTGAGAACATCCTACAAAGCTGCAAAATTGAGTGTGGGTTTTTGGCTTCTCCGCTCTCCTTTATACTTGCTCCCCTGCTGGGCGGAAGCTTAACTTCCCTTGTTGATTGCACCTGACAGCCAAGGACCACTTAGTGGGAGGTGGGTGTAGGCAGGGTGTGCCTATTGAATGAAAAAAAAAAAAAACAATTAAAACACTCTGACTAGGCCATGGCAGTAGGGGGTCAGGGGTTTGATCATCTTTTCCACGATCCAGAACGCTAATCAGTTACTGTTTTCAGAGCATGGGGTCATCAGAATCACATGAGGTCTTGTTAGATGCACAAATACACCATTCTTGCTCCAGAACTACTGGGTCAAAACCTCTGGGGTGACATCCAGCAATTTGCCATGTAACTAACCTCCCAGGTGAGTCCAGTGCACCCTCAAATTTCAAACCACTCCTGTAAACAGATCTTGTAGCCTGAAGGCCTAGTAGAGTTGTGTTCTAGCTTTAACAGTTAAACAAGAGAAGGAAGTTGGTGTCACATATTCGAAAGTAAGCATAAAATTCCAGCACTGCTGATTTTATAGACTTAAAGAAAGGGTTGGGGATGATTCACAACCATTAATAAAGCAAAATTTTAAATCCTCGCTACTATGATGTTTATATATATGGCTTATCAGAGCCAATGCAATAGGAGAGATTCATGTGTCATACGACCTATTCTTCATCACATGGGGCATTGAGTAGGATACTAACTTGACACAAAAATCAAAACACCGGGATTTCATTTGGGGTCAAGGACCACGGGAATTAGGATATGCTGAGTTGAGGCAGTAACAGCAATTTGACCACACTGCTAATGCAGGCACAACTTCTGGTTAAAAGGTTTCAATACCGGATGATGGGAAACCCACGGGGATTACAATTGAGATGGAAAAAAAATTTTCCAAATTGTTTTAAAATTAAAAAAAAAAGGCGGGTTTCAATACCATTTAGAAACAAACCAAAAAAAGAAAGGGTTAAGTATTTAGATGTTTTAAGGTACAAGAGACAAATCTTTCACTGCATTTCTTTTCAGACTTTAGATCTCAAGGACAGGAGTAGATATTAGCTAGGCACTAGAGGGTGAGATTTTGAGCTAAACGTGCACTCGTGCAACATACCCAACCTCACAGATTTCACTAACCTTCTATTCCCCAAATAATCACCACTTATAATCTAAATTCTGGTTTTTTTTTTTATGAGAATTATGGAGTTCAGAACTTCAGACTGTGAGTATAAACTGCAACTAGTGTATTTTTTCACTAATCAATTTATAGTTGGGGAGCATTATCTGCTAAACTTAGGTATAATGAATATTGTATATTAATGGTTAAATAAGTTTTTAGAAACTTTTGTTCTGGAAAATCTTCTTTGGGGATGGAGGTTTCTCTGAAACTCAAAAAGGAGAAGAATCACAATAAACATGCTTTGGGATTGTAGTTAAATCAGGATTAACACAAAGGCAGGGGAAACCTGGCCAGAAGCCAGAGGATTCTCCTCAAAAGAGAAACTAAATTGCAAGTTAGGAGAATGTGTGCTGGAAACTAAGACAAAAAGAGACATATTTTAAGTTGCTACTGAGGATCATGCATTATGGAGTATGACTGGAGCAGGATAAAATCTAACAGGAGAAAGATAGGTTCTCAGAGAGCAAGCCACCATTACTACTCAAAAGACATCCAACTGCAGGAAAGCGAGGCCCCAAGCCACCAGAAAGGACGCAGAAAACAATGTTGCTGTAGCAGCACAGGTGATTACTTGGATGTGGGAAATTCTAAAATCAAGGGAAAAAAAATTTTTAGGAAGGACAAATAGCAGAAATATTTGTATTGATTAAGCCTCTGGGAACTTCAGCTGTGAAGCAACAAAAGCAGGCTGATTCACTTCACATTTTTATTGATTGAGAGAGAGATATTAGGAAGAAACTTCCTTTAAAATCTATGGGTCTTTACTGGTCTGTATCCAAGTTCTGTGTGCATAAAAATAAATAAATAAATCTTTAAAAAAAAATATTGAGTCTTCACTGACAAAAGCTTAAAAATTCCATGCAATCTTGATAAGTTGGAAATCTCCAGAAAAAAGAGAAAGCACTATTTTCCTTTCAGAGGAATCCTGTTCTTGAACAATGAAGTCTACAACAGCTTTTACATTAATATTTTTTTCTCTGTTCATTTCTCCCTGTAGTGATATCACACATTACCCTGCCTTCAGTATATGGGCAGAGAAAAGTATTCATAGGAGAGACTAGTAATTTAGGACATGGGTAAATTGGTTGGAGCGTATCAGAAAGGACAAAATGTATCCCAGCTGTTGGTAAGGGAGAGGCGAAGAAGCCATAGGGCTGATTTTGTTTTCCCTGACTGGCTACTGTTGTCTGGATCACTCCCCGCCTCTCTCACTGCTACATAGCAAATGAAGAAAAATATTGGTGACCTTAGGAAGTCTGTGAAAAGGGAAAGATGACAACCTTGGAGGGGAAATACAAATTGTGTGACTGCCAGTGGAGTGAAAAAGTTTCCAAGACAGAGTGGTCTCATGATTTCATCGAAAGCTTGAGTGATCATCCCAAGCAAAAGTCCTTTCAATTAACTGTTAACATAGCTCACGTTTTCAGTCTTCACAATAGTCCGAGTTACGTATTGGTAGCTGTTTTCAATTCTCAGTTTCAATTTTTAACTGTTTCTAATTAGGAGTTATCTGATAGCTAAGAGTAAAAACCAGCTTATGATGCTGACATCACTTTAGAAGGTCATTGAGGGAGTTTATTCTATATTTTTTTTAGTAGGCTCATTTCTCCATTTAGTGAGTGTTCATTTCAGACAGCAGATCTTATGCATGTTACAAGACATAAATAAATTTAAAAAAATCTTAGACAAATGTATAGCAGTATAACTGAGTTCTTAAGACAAAGTATAGGATCTTTTGGGTTTTATAAATCAAGAGAATAGAACTATAAATGTGTCCATTGATGTCAACAAAAATTATCATGCCAATCAAAGATGAGAGCTTCTTTTTTTCAATTCCCCACTACCTCAGAGCAACAAACATTGCATGCAGCCCTTACAGGAATATGAATAGTATCATCATCAGGGGCTTTCCAATTCTAATTACTAGACTTATAAACAAAAGGTAGTGAGGTTGTTCCTTTATCCCTACACATGATTTTTTAAACTACAATCATTGCACTTTATGTTTATTTGTTGTTTTTTCTTTCAACTCCTAAGCCCGTTGAGGTTTAGGACTTACTGTCTGAATATCTTCAATGCCTTCTATATAAAAGCTACTTACATTTTTATTGTTGAATGGATATAATATATAATGTCTTTAGAGCTGTGTTTTATTGGTAATGCAAAACTTGACTGCACAGCTTTCTGCTTTTAACTCTTATTCTTGTTCTGTTTACCTCCTAGCGAGAAAGGTATTTTTCTCCTTCATTTCCTTAGCAGGCAGAACCTGCAATAGCCTCTCTCTTGTTGCTATATTGTCTTCTTTAATAAGTGTTCCTGGGGGTCACAAGAGTAAATCAAACAAAAGGCCACTCTCTCAAATCTTCTTGGATATTCTAGAACTTGTTATTTTCAGTGGTTAGTATATTAATATTCACTCTGTATCCCTAGAATTTTAGGATGTGCTCTTGCTTATAAAGATTACAAATGCTTTATGTTTTCATTAACTCAGTATCACTATGGTAACAAAGTCAACTTTTTTTTCTCAACAAAGGGAACCATGGGTTTTCCAGAAAGCTAAGTTTCCTGCCTAAATAGGCATTACATCAAACATCACCTTAAAAGTATGTTTGTTATGCACAGAGACAATTAGGGGATAGCTCTTGTATAATGTCAAAAACTAAAAAAAAGGGATATATATTTTTGAACTTTAAATTTAGTGCCCATATCACTTTATAAATTATGGGAAAATGCATTTCAAAATACTAATCATACATATAAATTCTAAAACAAGAACTTGAAGCTACATGTTAATGAAAAAACTTTTCCGTTTTATTGAAAATTTTCTAAAATATGCCAACTATATTCTGCTTTAAGAGACATATATAGTAATTCAGTTTTTTTTTTCTATGACTTGTGATCTCTGCGTGTCAGGAGACCTCAGGGTATAATAAAGTCACTTATCTAAAGAATACCATACAGCAACTATAGACTGAAGAACATTCATTTTGCAGGGAAGAATCTAACTATTTTAAAAGCCTTGTCCAAGCTTACATAGAAAGTGGCTATTAGAACACTGATTAAAGTTCTCTTCTGACTCCAGTTCTGGTGCTCAGAAATAAAGATGATGTTACAGAGAAAGAGAATGTGTTGGGACTCCAAAGCATGGCTCCTTTTAATGACATAAAACTATATATTTACATCTGTATCCTTCTACTTACAGAAATGATTTGCTAAATTTTGTTTTAGTTAACCATTGTGCCATTTTCAATAAGCTATTTTCAAGGCAGAAGAAAAGTGTTAAGATTTTTTCCCCTAAAATTTCCGATTTAGTATGATTCCAAATTTACATTTCCCCAAATTCCTAAGTTTTATATATTTTTAAGCTTTATTTATTTATACATATGAGAATTAGGGTACAGGTCAGAGGTGAAGGTGGTGAGTGGATCACCAGGCACAGAGTGGGGAGCAGAAGAGGCAGATCAATTAAAGAACGATGCTGAGGGAAGCAGCAGGCAAGGTAAGAGAGGTCTGCCATGCCATGTGGGTCATCTCCCTAGCAGGGCATCACACTCAAACTGCAATAGCTAAGGATAGTTTCACAGTGCTGCACTTTAAGCTGGTACACCACCAGGGAGGGCCAATTTTTATAAAAATACAAATGAAGGCATAACATGGATGTTGGGGGAGGCTATGTACGAAGGAAATTGTTTGCAGGAAATAAGGTTGAATTTCTATTGAATGAATGAAAACAGCTCAGCATTGAGGAATACTATTATGACCAAGATCAGCTGCTTTTGTATTCTTAACCATGAAGTTAAGGGTGATGGCCCAAAGTAAAATGATCAAAAATGACACTGAAATCAGGACCAAGTAGACAATCTAATAGCAAGTCAATAAGTCTGTCCCGAGTCACAGCAAACACCACCAGCCACACACTTAGTCCTTGTAGTTAGGAGAATGATAAA